GAGAGCAAGAGCGAGACACAAAAGTTTAACAATATTAATTGGACTGCTGTGTTGAGCATGCCTTAACCTTCTTCAATTCTAGAAGCCAAATAAGCTAAAAGCTCTAACCAGTGAGTTAACAGACCAGTTTCAAAAGGTCATTAGCTCCTAGCTTAGGACAGAGAGCAGGTGAGATAAGATTTTAGTGTTCTACCCTGAACTTTTAGTTAAATTTAAAATTCTCAATGGGATGAGAGTCACCCTGCTCTTGGGCAAGGCCACCATTACTCTCCAATTTCCAGAGTGAAGGACCTCTTAAGGGTGGTGAACCACTGGAACTGGTTGCCCAGAGAGAAGTATCCCTGTAAACATTCCAAGTCAGGTTGGGCAGGGCTCTGAGCAAACTGATCTAAAGATATCCCTGTTCACTGCAGGGGGAGTGGACTAGATGACCTTTAAAGGTCCCTTCCAACCCAAACCATCTAGGATTCTATGATTCTTGAGGCAGCTAGAAGATGCCTAGGGGGTTTAACAGCTATAGGGACATCATGAAATCCATCAAACTAATTAACAATGGCAAGTCCCATTGTACAAGCTCACACAGATGCAATACTCTAGCACTGATCCTTCCTAGACTGAAGAATTTTGACGATCTCCAAGCTGCAGAAGCTGTAGTAAAGCCTGTGATGCAATACATAGACTTATGATCTGCTACTCAACTCTAGCTCTCTAAAAATTGCCATCAGTTACAGAAAAGCTTTATGAGAACATGTTGGCCTGTCCCAAGTGACTCATTTATGTCCATCTGGAAAAATAACCAACCAGTCAAAAATTCCAACACTGATCAGATGGAAGTGAGGAAGCAGCTGGTCAGCTCCTAAAGACACCTCTGAATAAGCAGCAGTCTTCAAAAGCCTCCTAGCAGGAGGTACCTGTAGTCAGTGTACAGCTGCAACATCCACTGAAGGGACTATTTAGAGGCTCAACTAGAAGCAGGCAACCAAAGTTCTCTAAAAAGTAGTCACAGAGGTTTCCTGTAAGAAACACCAACATATCAGTTACTTGTGAAGCTGTATGGATTCACAAGGATTTCTCAAGATGAAACACTTCCAAACACAGCTTCTACAAGCCTATGAGGAGGGTAAAGACCAGCTGGTACCAGTAAACTCTGATGCTCTCAAACCTCTGGAAGACCTGTAATGGGGAAGAATGGCATTAGTGACTTGCCTAGCTTTTGCTCATGCCCTGACTCCCCCACAGCCCTTTACAAAACCTTCAACAAAAGGGAGTGGTGCAGAGTTAACGTGCACTGGATCTTTCTTACAGGACTAATAATCCTGAAATTGGATGTCCTTAAGCAAAGCCACATAGCTACATAAATTACTCTCAGGGAGGCTAGAAAAGCAAAGGCGCTATTCGGGCTGAACCAAGAACTCAGCACTCACTTCAGAGTGGGTGAGGTTTCTTAGATAAAGCTCTGAAATTAGGCAAATATGATTTATGTTTCATTTGTAGCTTCCAGGCATAGAGTTCATAAGTGTATTTGTTGTTAAATAAATACAGACACCAAGTTCAAGACGCACTAACACAAAGCTGTAAGATTGTTCTCCTGAATTATGCATTACCTTCACCCAGTATGCCATTTTTCTAACCCAAGTTCCCCACGAAGCCCCAAAATTCAGCATGTCTATATGCCATATGGACAAGCTTCTCCAACTGTCTGCTCCTCACGGAAATTCTATTTGTTTTCCTATTGATTTTATTATGTTTAACAGCATACTAAATCATTCCTGAGGTTGACAAGTTTCTGGAAAATTGATATATACTGTCTAAAACTGCCTGAGGCAGGAATAAAACCAAAGCAAATGGCTTCTTTTAAACTCTTGATTTGCATTACTACAGCCCGGCATGCAAGTTCCATCTTGTTTTGTAGAATTCTTCTCCTTTGTGTAACATCTAAAGCACAGGAAATCTTTAGAAACTCTTGTTATGGGGCTGCAGATTGGAGGAACAGGATTGCAAAATACTAGACTATTTGAGTGCAAGTGGGACTAAAAAAGCAGATTGTCAGCTAAGATCAATGGGCTAGATTCTCTTGTGGAGAGGTGGTGTTCCAAGAGTAGATGCCTTGGAATCTACAGCTTAAGGCAAAAATAAAATATTTAGTGAGACTTGAAGACGCATATTTCATTATTCCCCTGAGCAACTTGACTTTGAAGCATTTAAATGCAGGGTTTTGTTGTTGTGGTTTCCCCCCACCCCCACCCCGTTTGTTTGTCTTAAAACTTGGAGGTATCAACATTAAATACTGCAGAATTTGTTCCAAAGATTGGACTGCATCATGAAGAGCACTTCAAATGGGAAAATGCACCCAGGCAGTAATTTTTTCTTAGTTTAGAAACTGAAGGGGGAGATGAATTAGAGAAAACAGTCTGGATGCTTTGATGTCAGAAATCTGAATGCCACAAGAGTTTGAGAGAAAAATGATTAACAAGAAAGAATTTAAAAATCTCCAGACAAAGATCTGACAAAAACTGAGGAGGTCATACGAACACGTATTCATCCTTGTCAGAGTCACATTAGGCTGTTGTAATGGCTCTGTTCTGGCAAAGGAAAAAAAGGACTTGCAAGGAAAAAAAATATTTTTCTGGGAAGTAGTTGAGACACTGAATTAGCTGACAAATACTGGAATGGTATTTGCAGAGCAGTAGGCATTTAAGACATTAGTAATAATAAACTTCCCATTTTGGTGTGATTAAAAAAGTCAGAGATAGAGATGACATTTTCCAATCGTCCCTGTGATGCCACAGAATAAGCTCCTGGGTTTCACTAAGGAAAAACCAAATTAGCCTATGAGTACATAAATTGATTTGTAGGTCAGTCCTCCCAGTAAACAAGAAGCTTCCGTGAATTAACAGTGAGAAAAAACAGTCTCAGGGAGATGTCTTTCATTTAGAGAATCTTACAATCATCCAAGAGATATACACAAAAATGTAGAACATGCTAAAGTCCTTATGATATTAAAGATCAAAAAAACTTAATTTCAATAACAAAATAGCACAGAAAGAGAAAATACTCTTCATCTTGGCCATCTTCAGAAGATCAAATTTATTTCCTTCTTAGAAGAGGCCAAGCAAATTTTGTTCATTTGTTAACTTCTTGGATACTGCAGAGATCATATAAAAAGCCCAGCGGAACGTATGTAAATCTACTGATGGAAATAGCAGAAAATACTGCAGCTTTATCAATGAATGCATGGCTTGAAGAAGTAAAAGAATATCAACTTGTTTGCTTTGCATCTATGTTTTCAAAGACAGTAACATGGTATCACAGTTTCTAATTTCATAGCAACAAAATCTACTTTGCAGAATTATTACAGGAAAATTTCAAAAAGCCTGAGGAACATGATTCCAAGCTGTGCTGACCTTCACATCATAAATAATGGTCTTTTTTTTCATTTGGTAAACAAAGGTATTGAAGCTATTATGATCTGTCTCCTTTTTTCCATCTGCTAAATGATAATACCAAAATACACTGTCTACAGCTGGCTCTTAATTTTGAGATTTAAAGTGTGGAGCTGGGGGATTAAATGATGGCACCTGTTTCTTAACTAATACCCAGTCCCTGTGACAGCAGTTATTTGGACATTTCTAGCAAGAAACCTTGTCATCAAAGACTTTTGACACTTGCTATAGGTATTGTCTGTGTTCATTTGTTAAAGTCAGGAGTTTCTGCAACTTTCAGGTGAGTTTGATGACTTCAAAGGAAAAGCATCCAATCCAGCTGGAAAGGCCACAGACATTTGCTGTTGCTGAAGACTCTTCTGTGACTATAGCATTGCCTGTCCATTGCAAACTTGGCCAAATTGGTACTCTTTGAAACGCCATCAAAACAAAATATCTGTAGGTGGAAGAAACAAACCTCAAGTGCTAGGCACTCCTAGCAAAAAAACAATGAGCATTCTTATTAAAACAGAAGTCTAGAAAAGCTTTGCAAGCATCTACAAGCAGCAGAAAGTTTTTTGGAGATTCATGCTTTCACAAGCACAGTGTGTGAAGACAAGCATTGAAAAATTGTTCTTCACTCAAAACAGGCAGAAAAATACTTTATAACAAAGATGGAAAAAAAAAATGAATGTCAAGTTAAAGGAGTCCAAGACAGACGAGAACTATGTTATTAAATCAGGAACAACATGAGGTCATGGGCTGTAGTCTGGTATTAAAGCTCAGGAAAGCATATACCATTCAGAAGGTCAGATGTGCATCCTCAAGCTGAAGTGTTACTGATGGAGCACATGTTGGAAAGAAAGAAAGGACTGTTAAATCACTTGTAGAACCAGTACACTGAAAAAAGATGGGCAGAACTGTTTTTATTTTGCACAAGTATAGAACAACATAAATGTTTTTTGACAGCTTTGAGAAAAGTTCCTTAAACCCGAAAGTACATCCAACTGTGTTAATCAATGATAACTGAACAAGTAACAGTGAGACAGGTAAACAGACCTCCTGATAATGTTGCTCAAATAAATTAAAGCTGAATACTTCTGAACCATGAATAGCATTAACAGATGCTCTTTTTTCCATCTACTTTTGAAACGATGTCGTCATTGACTAACTTAATAAGATCACATTTTTCTACAACTAGTTACCCTCTTTTAGACTCCCAACCAGAAAAGAAGCAAACTGAATGGGTGTTTTTTGAAAAGGAGCAGTAGATGTGTCTGCTCATGCAGTACTGACTAAAGATTGAGACTGCAATCTTCACACAGACAGATAAGAGATCTGTCTGACAGATCCCTGGAATTTAATTTGCTCTCCAGACAAAATAACAAGGTTGCTTGGAGGTAATCCGATAAACTGTTCCAACAATTAACAGAAACAATTCAGGAAATGTGGAAAACCTGTTATATTATTAAAAAAAAAAAAAAAGCAGCAAGGCTAAAGCTGAACACTCAATGCCTGAATCCCCTGAACCTTGCTGACATTACTTAACCTTTAAAATGAAGGCTCAGTCATAAAAACTCATAAAACACGAATAAGATCCAATGTTATCCTCAGTCGAGCAATATCAACATTAAGTACTTTAACTTCCACTCTTTCTCCAGGACCTAACCCCAGGCTTCTTCTCTTCTTCACTTTTGAAAGTTTGGCCTCTGTTATGTTTCTCACTGGAATCAAACCTGCTTTTCCCACACCAATATCAACAAAAACTCCAAACGGCGTCGCGTTTTCGACTTTTCCAGTCAGAACAGCACCAACACTTAAGTCTTCAAAGCAGACTATGCTTCTCTTGAAGTCAGGTTTATCAAAATCTGTTATACAAAAGAAACAAGAAATAAAAATAAGACAGTGGAAAAGACATTTGTATTCTTTTCTAAGTGTTGCTTCCAGCTGATTGTTTCTAATGAAGCAGTCATTAAGTCATCCCAAGGTAGCTCTAAGGTCCCAAATACTGCCTCATTACATTTTTAAAATCAAGACTCATCTGTGACAAACGGCACTTATTGTATTTTTTTTAATCACTTAAAGACTGATAAATGGAGAAATAAGTATAGTGAACTCCATGGTAGGAAACTATCACAAAGGGATGAGAAACATAGTATATAAATTTTCTTGGAACTCGGAGGAAAGACTTGAGGTGACTCTTACTTGAGCTACACAAATTATACATAAAATTCTATTCATATACAAATTTGTATACAGGAAGGTGAATGCTCAGTCTTGGCACATACTAAAGAGAAAAATCAACAACGCACTGTTCTTGGGCTTGCTGTTCATCTGCACCATGACATCACCAACAGACTGCTTTTCATGACATCATATAACTGCTTCTTTGCACTGACAACTTGAAAATCCCACAAGCATGATTATAAGCAAGTAACATTCCAATTTATTAAAGTTCATGTTCTAAACTTAAGGGCATAGATAGATCTTTTAAGCCCTCTTGTTACTTGCTTGCTACTTTCAGCTCCTGCAGAAAACCCTTCAGAGTCATCTCAACGATTTCCCTTTCAGTCTTTTCCTACTGCTGTTATACCTTCTCCAAGATATAATAGGACTAAGTTTTTCCACAGAGATCAGCATCAATCCAGGACTGCAACCACTGTCCTATATTTGCCTCTGAGAAATAAAATATAGCCTGAACAAATTTACAGCTAAAATGCACTGGAAATCGTTCACTCTGCAACTTCAACAGGCTGTGGATCTGTGTTGTGTTTTCATGAGAAGGTTTTGCAGTGGGGGCAGGGCTATAGGAGTGACTTCTGTGAGAAACTGTTAGAAGCTTCCCCCATGTCTGACAGAGCCAATTCCAGCCGGCTCCAAGACAGAGCTGCTGTTGGCCAAGGCCAAGCCCATCAGCAACAGTGGCTGCACCTCTGTGACAACATATTTCACAAGAGGGCAAAAAAACCTGCTGTGCAACAGCAACCAGAAGAAAGGAGAGAGAATGTGAGTGAAACTCTGCAGACACCAAGGTCAGTGAAGAAGGAGGGGGAGGAGGTGCTCCAGGTGCACCAGGCACCAAGCAGAGTTTCCCCTGCAGTCCATGGTGAAGACCATGGTGAGGCAGGCTGCCCCACTTAAGGCCGTGGAGGTTAACAGTGGAGCTGATATCCACCTGAAGCCTGTGGAGAAACCCATGCCTGAAGGAGGCTGTGACACCATGGGAAGCCTGCACTGGAGCAGGCTGCTGGCAGGACCCATGGACTCACAGAGAGAAGCACATGCTAGAGCATGTCTGCTGACAGGACTTCAGACCTTGCTGGGAACCAACACTGGAGCACCAGTGTTGGTTCCCAAGGGCTGCACCCCATGGAAAGGACCCACACTAGAACAGTTAGTGAAGAACTATCTCTGACGGGAGTGACTCCACACTAGAGGGGCAACGATGTGTGGAGTCCTGCTCCTGAGGAGGAAGGAGTGGCAGAAGTAACACATGATGCCAACACTGAAGCAGTCTGTTCCTAAAGGGCTACACCCCATGGAAGGGACCCACACTAGAACAGTTAGTGAAGAACTATCTCTGACGGGAGTGACTCCACACTAGAGGGGCAACGATGTGTGGAGTCCTGCTCCTGAGGAGGAAGGAGTGGCAGAAGTAACACATGATGAACTGATTGCAACCTCCATTCCCTATCCCCCTGTGCTGCTGGGTGGGAGGAGGTAGAGAAAATCAGGAGTAAAATTCAGCCTGGAAAGAATTGAGGTGTGGGGGGAAGGTGTTTTCAAGAGTTTGTCTTTATTTTCTCATTATCCTACTCTGATTTAGTTGGCAATCAATTAATTTAATTTTCTCCAACCTGAGTCTGTTTTGCCTGTGATGGTATTTGGTGAGTCATCTCCCTGTTCTTATCTCAACCCATGAGCCTTTTGTTAATTTTTTTCTCCTCTGTCCCATGGAGGAGGGAAAGTGATAGAGTGGCTTGGTGGGCACCTGGTGTTCAGCTAGGGTCAGGACACCACAGGCTCAAACTTCAGTCAAATACACAAGCTGGCAAATGCAGCAATAGGCTTTGGATGACATCAGGTTTTCTGCTGAAGGAATGTACCCAAGTGCTCAAGTCCAAAATGGTCAATCCTTTTGTAATGTGCAGTGACACTTAGATGAAAAAAGCAATTAAACAGCCATTCAGGGCAAGGAGGACAAGAAGATTCAGAGGAATGATGGGAATCTTTTTAAATGTTTGCAAACCTGTTTTTTTCCCCATCCCATCAGATCCATTACAGTTATCTGATTAGATCCTCAACTTTCATGTTAAAAAGAGAATTTCTTTCAAGAAATGCCTCGAAACACCTTGGCTAGAAAAAGATTTTTTAAATAATGTGATAAAAATATTCCATCCTTTCCCTTTCTCCAAATAACTCTGACCATTTTCCTTAGTACTAAAATCATTCAGGAAAAATAAACAACATAGAATTGCAATTAAATTTAAGAGGATACATAGGAAAGCTACTCTTTGCAGCTCCTCAACATCACATCTCTACTTTTGGAAACAACAATGGAATTTAATCTTAAATTAAGATTATTGTTTGAATCTGGCTAAAATACAAACCATTCTATTTGCATTAGATGTGATGCACTTCCTCACTGACAGTCACTAGCAGGCTCAGAAAGACAATGAGTTACAGTTATACAAGGCAACTAGGCTGCCTATTCTACTACAGTCAGAGTCTTTCTACAGTACTGCTGAACATTCTGGATCAGCAGAATATGAATATTTCCACTGAAGATTCTCTTTTGCTTTTAGATCTTCATACGTTAATAGTCTATCCAAGTGTGATTTAAATATGAAACCATCAGAACAAATGCAGATATAGAAAAACTAATTGGCCAGATCACTAGTGCAAAACATTTTAAAAAATCTGCAAGGAAGCTTCTAATGAAGACAAAACAGGGAACAGATTTTTTTTTAAGCATAAGTTTATTTGTTATTACAAGCCTGTATCTTTGCTGCCTACCTTTATCTCTTGCTGTTGTAAGAGAATCCAGCTGTAAGTTTCATTAAACAGCAGCACCTCCAGATGTTTTACTTTGTTGCTTACCTCATCTGTCTTCCCCTCCACCTCAAACTGTTCATCACTACTGCAAAGGTTTAACCAAGGCAGGTCATGAGCCATGTGCTCCAACTACACTTGTCTCCAGGAACTAGTGGAATAAAAGCAGAGCTACACACTACACTACTGCAGTACTGCTTCACAGACCTTTAGTACTATGGTTTCAGCTTGGTCTCAGCATTACCCTCCATGGTGGAGAGCCAACACAGATTTAATCAGCATAGAGTCAACATATTGAAACTATTTCATTTGTTAACAGCCATACAACTCCCCTTCCTAGGGCTGAAAATGCCATTATTTAAGACAGGATTCACACTTCTTACCTACTGAGCTGGAAAGAAACATCTGACTATGATATAGCATTTACCTTGCCTGAGAAGAGCTACACATCCATGAACTTCAGAAGAAAAATATGTGCTGTTTTAAAATCAGTATGTAGAACAACCAAACTGAGATCACAGCCTTCAAACCAAATGTTTACCTGTTCGGATGTCAAAGCCTTCAGGCTGAGTCAGGCCATCAATGATCAGCTGCAGTGTGTGCACCGTCGTATTGAGTCTTTTTGCTGTGCCTTCCAGGCCTTCCTTTTGAATTACTGCATTTACTTTTTGCTGCATATCTGATTTTCCTATGTCATTTGTGTTTCCTCCAATGAAAGATAAAAATCTGGGAAGTTCAAACAGATACAGAGAGATCTGTAACATCCGTTAGTGGGAACTGAACCTTTGTTATATTTAGGGCTTTTACTGAAAAAAATTATACTTTTGCATTGATGTTTGAACAGAATTTCCGTTCAAACATATGAATAGTTTCCCAAGTGCATATTCCCTTGGCTCATCACTGAACAGAGACATACATGGAATCTTAGAGTCTGTCTGTACACATGTATCTCCAGGGAGAGATTGCAAAACTCGAAGCAAAATTTCAAAATGTAAATCACTCCTCAGGCTGATTTCATCTCATGCTAAAACCAAATCTGATTATGACTGAAAGATGTCTTTTACCATGAAAGTTTACTACAAATATGCAAGAGTTACATGATACTGCCATTTTTATTGTCATTCTCAAATTAAAAGGAATGGCAATTTAGTAAAACAACAACGAATGTTTAAAATCTTAAATTAATATGAGGAATCTTTGACCAGATTTAAGAAAAAAATTACATAAACTACTTCTCTTGTCACTGAATTTCATGATAAAGAACAATTAGCTTTTCAGAAACAAGGATATTATTGAGTCAAAGTAGTTATGCAACACTTATCCTTCCCTATTGTCTCATCACATTGCAGATTGAGAGGAATTTGGACTGGCATCTAAAATGGCTGAATAGAAATACTTGAAAATAAGTATGTCTTGATCTTAAAAAAAAAAAAGAAAACCCCAAACCACATTTACTGAGGTTTTTAGTTTAGCAATGTTGGCACACGTGCTGAGAAGTGCAGACGACAGATTACAAAAATTCACATGCAGACCCTACTCCTTATTTTCCATCATGATGCCTTAGACAAAGTCTATTTATCACTGTATAAATGTCCTTATTTTACTGAAAGTCTTAAAAAATGAAAAAAGTCTTTAATAGATATAAACCAATGAAAATGAGGATGCAGCTCACAGAAGCTGAGCTACACTGCACTAGACAAAGCAATCTGTTCTCTTCTCAGTTGACACTTCAGTTTTCCATCCTGCCACCTCACCACAAATATGCCTCTTCTACCCTGCTTTATCATGTCCCATATTACTGGAGGGAGGCACACAGGGTTTTTGAGTGCTCTCCATCATAAAAGACAAGTAGAACTACTGACCTGAGTTCCAGAGACTAAGAAAACGTTCCTTACAAGTTCCTAAAAGAGATCCCTCCTTCCTGTCATCCTACTTCACAACAGGTGCAAACTACAAGCCACAAAAGAAGTGGCCAGTAGGTTCATGCCCTGCATTTAGGAGTAATGGGAGACATTCCAGCTCCATAAGAAACCAAAAGCCAAGGCTACTCACCCTCCTTTCCCCCCTCAACAATACATGCCATGCTTTTATAAAAGGTCAATATTGCTTTTGGCAGGAGACACAGCAGGGTTTTGTGTCTGAAGGGTTTTTGGTTTTTTGTTTGTTTTTAACCTGAGAAACCCAACTGACATTATTTCAGGTGGCAAGTGATAAAAAGTGTATGTACTGAAACACAAAATTAATTTCTTTCGAAGAAAATAAAAATGGAAGGAAGATAATTGAAGCAGTATCCAACTTTCACTTAAGTACAAAATTAATCTTCAAGTACAAGTGCAAATCTTCACTCCAAAACATTCACTAATTTCACCAAAACGAGAATAGCCATTAAAATAGGCTGCCAGGACTTTCACTTTCTTACTGAATTCAATTGCAAGCATGGAGATTTAAGTACACTGTTCGCTCAAACAAATATATTTGCACTTAATAGTGGTTCACATCATTTTCCAATTCATTTTAAGACATACAGATCTTCCATGTGGCGATGTGTAAAGAAAAAAAACCCTAATAAATATTCAGAAATACTGTTCTCAGGATTTACTGAATTTTGTTGTGATTGACTGCATTTCAACTTCTGACATCACTTTTTAAAGTAGCTCAAGGTGGTTTGAAAACAAAGTAACTATCAAAACAGATGCAAAACTCTTTATAATACTAAACAGAAATTTTTATTTTCCATAAACTAACAGCAAAACACTCCTCCTCCTCCTCAATATTTTGTCTAGTAAGAGCCTATGTATGAAAAGTATTAGACCTTCTATGGAACCATCTTCTGTTGGTCTCAAAAGAGCACCAGAAGTGGTTGCAACGATAATACTGAAAATGTGTGCAGGTCCAGGCAAAGAGCTCTTCACACAGCTCCTTGGGCCCGCTGGCTGCTAACGTTGATGGATGGACAATACCCCACCAGAGCACTAGTGACAGGCAGCAGCTGCCCTAGCTTTGACTGACATGCCAGATGTAACACGACAAACCCAAGCAGCCTCATGACTCAACCTTCTAAATAATGTATGCTTTACCGCTTGCCCCCATAAACAAGTTTGCTGACATTCACATAGTTGGCTTTATTTCACTTCAAATGGAAATTAAGCTCAAGTACCTCCAAGTAACATTTTCTCACCATGAGGATTTCGCAGAAGTGCATTCACTTTGTAAATCGATAAGAGGGTGGGTTTCACTGCTAATAAGTGCAACCACATGGAACAGCCACGGATGTATGAAACCCCTCCTGCTGCATATGAAACTGCTGAACGTGTGGATAATGCAGTCAGAATGCACAGTGCTATGTGCAGGCTGCTGGAAGGAAAACCAGCCCAAAACAGTACACATCCCAGGTGCTCGAGCCTTCAATTGCCACTCATGAAAGTTATTTTTTGCCCACAGTCCTTCCTCTGTGTTCCCCACCCTCCAGAAATCCCAATGAAAGTCTTTATCTGACATTAAAAATGATTCCACATCTAGGCAAGGGCGGTAAGTTTGGGTCTTGCGTTATCAATTACAGTTAACTAACTTATCATCATGGCTACTGCTCAGAATAAAGTTTTGGCTCCACCTGAAGATGATGCTTAAGCACATGCCCAAGTTGAGTACATGAGAAGTCCCACTGACCTCAGCAGAATTATTAATGTTTAGGCATTTGGTTAAAAATATTTCACAATTATGATGAATATTATAGGCAGAACATTTGGAAATGCTCACCAACTTAGGTTAGGTTTTGGTAAAACCTATGCATTAAAATATTGCCAAATAAAAGCAATTTCTTAGTGATTACAGCAGTAGTTTTTCTAAACAGTGTTGAGTCTATATATTTAATGTCTCATTTTCACTCAAATTAATATCGCCTGTGGCACTTAGAATTAAAAAAATCAATATAAAGCACAAATCTGCCTGAACAGTGGTGCATTACATCGATAATATCTATTTTTAAATGCCTTTGCTAAGAACAAAGTTAAGTGTTTTCTTATTAAAAAAGCAACCCAACAGCTTCCTTTGAGATTTATTTCACGGTCAGAAAAAAAAAGGATATTGTCAGTAATAAGAATGGGATTTGGCTACGGGGAAAAAAAGTGGTTTCCCCTAATTTACATATTTTTATCTGCATAATGTCAAATTATCTCACTACAATCTTTGAAATATCTCACTTATCCAATTTGTAAATTACAGTTCCAGCTGCACAGCATAAGAACATAGCTTATCTATAAAAAAAAAAAAAAAAAAGAATGCCCTTCAAGTATTTACCTGGCTACATATGTGAACTAAATAAGATGCTGCAGTAATTCAACTGCTATGTTTTTATCTACCAAAAAGATAAAATAAATAAAAGTTATCAGAAATGGAAATGCAAAAGACGAGATGTTTTTATCTGAAGTGAGGTTACTCTTACAAGATACCCTATCCTTATTTCCTCAAATATTGAGTGTCTGAGTGAATGGCAAACTTTCTGTTCAAGGCACATCAATTCAGATAAAGACTGCCAGAGTCTTAGGAAAGTCAGAACAGAACGAAATTTAGCTGGATAAGAGACTTGGAGCTTTATGGCTTTGAGATTTAGAGGATACTCAGAAACCCCTGCAATCACCTTAGTTTTAAAAGCAATCTTTGCAGTCTTTTCTGATCTGCAAAGAATGGTCATAGCTAAATCACTGATGTTTTTATTTAATACATAATTTCATCCCTCTTACCTAGATAAAGAAAGAAAAGTAGCATAAATGTAACAAATAAGCACATCATGTTCACTTAATGTACACATCTGCACAAAATTATAGCACAGCCCTTGCAATACTTAAAAGATAATGCAAATTTCAGCAGAATGCAAAAAAAAAAGTCAGAAAAGAGTAAAAATATTTCAAAGGGAAGCATGCAGTAAATTTTTAAGAAGTTACTTTAAACGCCTCAAAAAGCTTCGTGTAATATGCAGGAGTTCTAAAGCTTTGCAAGGGTTTTAGTCACAGTCATTTCTGTTTTATGTAATCATTTCCAGCAACACGACTTAAGATCTGGGAGTACTGGATTCATTACATTAAAGCAACATGATACACCATTACATCTTGTCACAGCGCACACATGAATTAATGGTAATGCAACATAATCACTCTGAAAACGAAACAACTTTGCATTAGTCTGTGCCTTGCTAGGTAAAATGTACATTCATGACAGTACCACGCTTAAATTATGCAGACATCGATGTTTTAGTAATGTTTTGAAGTGCAAAAACATTATTTGTATAATGCAGATGTTGACTGTTCTTGTTCTCACTAACAAAACGGATCCTCAGTTTCCAACCACTGAGGCAGATGATGTATCAAACAATATTTGTGCATTACTCTCCAATTAATTGCTGGACACAGGAAGACAAAGTTTTCTATTTAAAGCTACTTCTGTGGTTTAGCCAGATAAGGACATTTAACCAACGTTTTCCCCCAAATGCAGAAATTATTACTATTATAGATTATCTGACTGCATGCAAAAGACCAGAAAGCACTCAGATAGTCAATGGCATTTTGAACTTACAAATCAAAGAAAATGACTTTCAGAAGGAGAAAAGAAATTCAGACACTGCAGCATAGCCTCTTTGCTACCATAACATCAGGCACACTGCTGTTAGTTGTTTTCATGACTACCTATGTATCACATAACTGAAGTGTAACCTGAGACACAAAATAATGAAA